TATTTAGTGAGATTGAAAGGGGTAGTAATAAGTGTTTCTTTAAGGTTGCGCGAGTAGAAGTAAGATGTTTATTAAGTTATTTATTTCACCTGGTACCTTGATGTGAACTATAAAGTATGATTTTAAAGATCCTGAACAGAGAAATAAGAAAAGTTTATCGGACACGTAATCAAGATTCTGAAGAAGAATAGGTAAGTTACTATTTTTAATTTATTTGAGGATATTATTTTTATGCATTGTTCTAAATGTAAGGTGGAAGTAAAGTAATTATGTAAAACGTGCATGGAAAAATTTAAATATTTGACACTAAGTATTTGTAACCATTTGTAATGAAGTAAAGGTATGAATTAGTTAGTGACATTTGTAAATAATAGATAATGTAGAGGTAAAAGTTTTTGGATATTTTATTTATTTTATACGGGGAAAAGTTCATATTTGGAAAGGGTATGTACTTTTTCGCGATCAGGTAATTTCATATATGTTCTTTTACCAGGTTTAAAGATTCAGAAAATTGTTATGCATTTTCGGAAATTTTTTAATTTATGAGGAAAAAAGCAGTGTACATGGATATAGTGAAGAGTGTGCGCAATGCCATTTTGTGCAATCTGGGATGTTTTTTTTAAGTAAAAATAAGTCGACGTGTACATGGTTTTAGTGATATTTTAATTAAATGATAGTTATTTTGTGAATTTTATGTTTGTAGGAATTTGGTATACGTTCAAGTTGAAGTAAACGTGCATGGAAATATTTAAATATTTGACACTAAGTATTTGTAATGCTTGCGGTATGAATTCGTTGGTGACGTGTATAATATAATATGATTTAGAGGTAAAAGTTTTTGGATATTTTATTTATTTTATATGTGGAAATGTTCATATTTGGAAAGGGTATAAACTTTTTCGCGATCAGGTAATTTTATATATGTTCTTTTTACCGGGTTTAAAGATTCAGAAAAAAAAATTGTCATGTATTTTCGTGAATTTTTCTAATTTATGAGAAAAAAGCAGTGTACATGGATATAGTGAAGAGTGTGCGCAATGCCATTTTTGTGTAATTCTGGGATGTTATTTTAAGTAAAAATAAGTCGACGTGTACATGGTTTATGTGTATGTGTTATTTTGAAAAACATGTAAGGAGTATGGTATTGTGCACTTTTTCTCAATTTTGCAGTGAATATTTGTCATGATTACGCAGTTTTGTTAGATAAAATTTCTAGCATAAGTGTAATTCGGCTAGTAGGTTGTTGGAAGAAGTGTTCAGTAGATAAAAAGGAAAGAAACATGTCTTTACTTCGGGAAGACAAAATGGCGGCGGGGGAAAAAAAATAGAGGGTTGCTGTAGGAGAGATGGTGGCCAAATTTTCACCAAAAAAACGCCAAGTTACCATAATGTAAAGATCAACCCCATTATGATTTAAAAGGTATCAAAATTTACCAAAAAAAAAAAAAAAAAAACTTAATATTTATTTGCTTACTTTATTAAACATTTCTTTCAATATAAGTTGTTTAAGTTGCTTCGTTTTATGTGATAATACTTTTTCTTTAATTCTATAAACGGACATCATTTCTTCAGTTACAAAGTTCCGCTGTTCAAGTCCTATAATTGCTCTGTCGAGAATACCGGCTAATTTGTCAATCGAAATTTTTTCGTTTTCAATAACCTCTGTGTCACTTTCTTCACTATTGGAAGAGAATCATAATGATGAATTTGATTTAAATCATATCGAAGACGGAGTACATCGAGATGAAATACAGTTAAAAGTCTTTAATTCGGACTCGTTGGGACTTCTGCGATTCCGGATTATAGATCATCAGTTTAAATCTGGTAAGATGGCATGCAGAAATTATAAAATTAAAAATATGAAAAACCGAATTTATAAATAATGAGCAATATATATCTAAAGGGTATCAAAATTTACAAAAAAAGAAGCTTAATATTTATTTGTTTACTTTATTAAACATTTCTTTCAACGCGCGCATGCGTAAAGCAAACCTACGCATAGCCGAAATTAGAAAATTGCAACCAGAAAACTATTTGATTTGCATTCGTGATATTTATAATGACGAGGAATTTGATTTAAATCATATCAAAGACGGAGTACATCGAGATTAAACACTACATTTAATAAGGAATTATAAGCCGAATAAAATAAAAACATCTGCCCTGAAGATAACGATAGTGCTAAGAGATCAACTTCCAGTTCATTGAGCGTCGTGACGTCCATGCGTCAACGCGGTGCATGCGCAGAAAGATTTTAGCTTTGAGGTCCGGATTATAGATCATTCCGGATTATGGGTGTCCGAATTAACGACTTTTGACTGTACTACATTTAGTAAGGAATTATAAGCCAAATAAAATAAAAACATCTGCCTTGAAGATAAGGATAGTGCTGACAGATCAACTTCCAATTCATTGTGCGCCACGGTGTTTTTCTAATTTATGAGAAAAAAGCAGTGTATATGGATATAGTGAAGAGTGTGCGCAATGCCATTTTTGTGCAATTCTGGGATGTTTTTTTTAAGTAAAAATAAGTCGACGTGTACATGGTTTAGTTATATTTTAATTACATGATAGTTATTTTGTGAATTTTATGTTTGTAGCAATTTGGTGTACGTTTCATTTGAAGTAAACGTGCATGGAAATAATTTAAATATTTGATACTAAGTATTTGTAACCATTTTTAATGTTTGCGGTAGAAATTCGTTGCTGACGTTTATAATATAATAGATAATTTAGAGGTAAAAGTTTTTGGATATTTTATTTATTTTATACGTGGAAATGTTCATATTTGGAAAGGGTATATACCTTTTCGCGATAAGGTAATTTCATATATGTTCTTTTTAACGGGTTTAAAGATTCAGAAAATTTTCATGCATTTTCGTGAAATTTTCTAATTTTATGAGAAAAAAGCAGTGTACATGGATATAGTGAAGAATGTGCGCAATGCCATTTTTGTGCAATACTGGGATTTTTTTAAAGTAAAAGTAAGTCAATGTGCACATGGTTTAGTGATATTTTAATTAAATGATAGTTATTTTGTGAATTTTATGTTTGTAGGAATTTGGTATACGTTTTAGTTGAAGTAAACGTGCATGGAAATAATTTAAATATTTGACACTAAATATTTGTAATGTTTGCGGTATGAATTCGTTGGTGACATTTATAATATAATAGATAATTTAGAGGTAAAAGTTTTTAGATATTTTATTTATTTTATACGTGGAAATGCTCATAATTTTTTATACTTTTTCGCGATAAGGTAATTTCATATATGTTCTTTTTACCAAGTTTAAAGATTCGGAAAATTGTCATGCATTTTCATGAAATTTTTCTAATTTATGAGAAAAAAGCAGTGTACATGGATATAGTGAAGAGTGCATGCAATGCTATTTTTGTGCAATTCTGGGAAGTTTTTCTAAGTAAAAATAAGTCGACGTGTACATGGTTTATGTGTATGTGTTATTGTGAAAAATGCCCAAGGAGTTTGCGATTGTGCACTTTTTCCCAATTTTGCACTGAATATTTGTCATGATTAAGCAGTTTTGTTAGATAAAATTTCTAGTATAAGTGTAATTTGGCTAGTAGATTGTTGGAAAAAGTGTTCAGTAAATAAAAAAAAAGAAACATGTCTTTACTTCGTGAAGACAAAATGGCGGCGGAAAAAAAAAATAGAGGGTTGCTGTAGCAGAGTTGGTCGCTAAATTTTCGCCAAAAAATTGCCAAGTTACCATAAACCAAAGATCAACCTAATATTCTTTTCACTTTAGTACATACAGTTTTTTTTTTACAATCTTAGTGACTATAAATTCTTACTGTTACATAAGTTCAAGAGCAATATTGCAAAGTAATTAAAAAATTTTTTAAAATCAATTTATTTACCTTTTACGATGGAGGAAGAGTATTTTATAAATATATTTAGAATTTACAGTCTAAGAGAAATTTAGGTACTTTTCGGTTTTGCCGGCGCAGGCGATAAAGTCGCCAATAATGGTACAACTGATGGCAAACGGAATATTCTCACTGGTAGCTTTTTACGCCTCACTTTCAAAATAAGTCGCAGCCATTTGTTATCAGATTCATTGTTCCTTTCAATACTGGCATACAATTGCATAGAATTTTTAACAGATAGTCCAGTTTTATGCCCTAACGTCAATCTAATGAGAATGCACTAGATAAATAAAGCACTCTGGTTTTACATAATTTCTGAGTAAGCTATTCGTATGAACTGAAATAATTCTTGCATTTGAACTTGTATTCCAAATTAAGATTTAACTTGAAATTAATGTAGATAAATACTGAGAGAATTAGATTTTTTTAGTGTAGTTTACGTGAGATGAGATCACTTGGAGTCACATGAATCAAGATGTTGTACCATGAAAGCATAATAAATTCTTAAATTAATGACTTTTTACAAATTTATTGTCTTTATTTATTGGCTTTTTATCAAATTTAAACGATATTAAAATGTTTATGCCCTCAAAACAAAAAATTCTTAGAACCAACATTTGTTAACATTTTATATGTGTATGCTCTGTGTTATCGCCAATAAAGTCTGCTTGGCGAGATTGCGCCGGCGAAACGGAAAAGTACCGAAATTTATAATTTACCTTGATGACGTAAACAAATATTCAAATGCTACAATCAAATACCATGTATCTCACGTACCGTTGAACCCTGGGCTGAAGTACCATGTGTCGGAGATAATTCCAGCAAAATCTTAACTCCTAACATTTTATTACATAAAGTAAAGCAACTCCGAATTATCACATGTGTTTACGTCTTTGAATAAATTAACCATTTAGTAGGAATTAGAAAACTTAGCACATCATATTTACCATAATAAATACTTGCGATTTCTTAATTTTTTTTTATGGACGGAGGATAAACTATTTTCAGAAACCACTCACAACTTTTTCACAATACACAGAAAAAAGAGCTATAACATGCATAACATATTTCACATGCTAAATAAAAAAGACGTAAAATCAAAATTTTCTTACATTTTTTGATTCAATATAGTCTGACCTTGTGGTTGAAAATCGCTAACTATTATACCTAATTGACGTACATTTTCTATAAATAATTCTAAATAACTCTCTAAATTTTCTAATTGAGAAGACATTTCTTGAATAATTTCCAACAACAATATAACTCACATACAACGATTAGCAACACAATTCCAAAATTAGACGCGGAACGACACACGTTTCAACCTACACACTTTTCCAAACAATTCCAGATATTATCCGCTAATGTTGCCACCCTTAACATTATCATTACCTTCTTCCTCAGCCTGACATCAGCCTAAATTATTTTCACCAAGCCACCAAATTTTGAACAACATAATCCTGCAAAAATGGGCATCTGGAAGCCCAAATTTGAAATCTGGAATTTGTTTTATTATGGATTTCATATTCCAGAGCCGCTCTGGAGCGAATAAAATGCTCCTTTTCTAATGTTTATAAAAAGTAATGAGTTTTGTTCAGCTACGCTGAAATTTCTAAATATATTTAAAAACAACAAAAATAAATAAGTGAAGAAAAAAAGAAAATCTGAAAGTTTCCAGATTTTAAATTACGTCCAAAGGAGCTTTTTCTTTACATTTTGTGGGTTATCTTTATTTATTAAATATCATGTTTTTCTCACTTAAACCATAAAATTAAGTTCAAGAGCCGCAAAGTAATTTTAAATTGAGCATATCTTTAGAATTTCCGATACACAGTCTCACGCGTTGGATATAATTATGTTTTCTGTACAACTCGCTTTGAAATCTTCGAGTTTGTTAATAAGAAATTAGTCAAGGTTTTTAGAAAATATGAAATCGATAACAAAACAAATTCCAAATTTCAAATTTGGGCTTCCAGATGCCCATATTCGCAGTAGGATTACATCATTCAACTCTCATAAAAGAATTCTCGTAATAATTAAAAATTACATTTAGTCTGCTTTCAGTGTTATTCTTTTCTGCCGCAAGAAGTACTTTTTTTTCTTATTTGATCTCGCCCTAAATTTGAAAGACATCTAATTTACTTTTCATATGTGTTTTATGGAACATTGCTTGTTTTTGTCGAGGAAAAGTAGCGAACTGAATACGAAACTAACATTAAAAGCTGTTGCCATTTCTCAACATTACTGGTTGCTGAGTTGAACTGCGGTGCTTAACCACCAGGGTGCCTGGGCGCCATAGCCCTACCCCTCATCGAATAACATGATAAAAGTTTCGAATTATGAGAAATGTGTAACTGAATGTGCTAAATAATTAAATGAGCAAGAGTTTAAATTCATAATTGCTAATAGTTAAATACATATTTTTTCCTTAAGTACCTAATTACTAATCCATACATAATTAACTATTTTTTAACAACTATTTCACAGAAGAATACATGTACACACAAGAGAAACAAAATACGAAGTGCGACGCCTTAGTGCCACTAGTAAAAAAAAAAAAAAAAGAAAGAAAAAGAACAATATACAATAAAGAATTTGAGCAACAATTTGCATAACACATATACAAAATTACACATTACTAACATTTAGGATCGCCCTTGGGCGCTTACTGAAATTGGGGTCCCTAGTATCATAACAATAGTTAACAACCACAGGATTGTCCAGAAGTTCCTGTTTATCATAAAATGCCCTAGATAGGCGGCAATAAAAATCACAAAGATCCTCTATTCTTAACTCTTTACGAATTTGGCTATTCCGAATGTACCAGGGGGCATTACATATCATACGCAATACCCCGTTTTGGGCAGCTTGTAACTGCCTTCTCAAACTTTTGCACGAGTATGCCCAGACGGGGCATGCATAACTAAGAATTGGACGCAACATGGTTTTGTAAATGAGCAACTTATTATCAATAGATAGAACACTGTTTCGAGCAATTAAGGGGAAGAGTGAAGCTTTACTAGCTCGAAACTTCCTGAGAATATGTGTAACGTGTGGGTTCCATGTAAGAGATTTACTGAGGATCACCCCAAGATAAGGGACCTGCTTGACCCAGGGAATGTCCACACCATACATTTGCAGGTGAGTCGGGAAATTCTTCTTAGTAGTAAACAGTATGGCATGTGTCTTGTCGACATTCACTTTGACTTTCCATTTGGTCAGCCAAGTCTCTAGCGAGTGGATGTGGTGTTGTAGCTGTTGTATTGCTGAACTAACAAATGCACTTTGCGTAAGGATCGCTGTGTCGTCTGCATACATGGCTAGTGTTGTGTTGTGTGTAGTGGGGATGTCGTTCACGTAAATATTGAATAGGGTAGGGCCCAGAAGGGATCCCTGTGGAACACCAGCCCGTATAGGGCCGGTTTGTGGATAATGAACCAGAAACATGAACGACAAAGTGTCTACCGGTTAGGTAGGATTTAATTATGTTTGTGATGTAGCCTGGGAGTCCCAGGTTGTGTAATTTGTATATGAGGGCATCCAGCCATACTCTATCGAAGGCTTTGGCGACATCTAAGAAAAGTCCACCAGTGACACGATGTTGTTGCATCCCACTGCTTATTAACTCAACAACTCTGTAGAGTTGATGCGTTGTCGAGTGCTTACGCCTGAACCCAAACTGATAGGGTATGAGGATCTTCTGCTCATCCAGGAAGATGTTTAGTCTATGTAGAATAACTGCTTCCACGATTTTGCTAATTGAGCTTAGCAAACTGATTGGTCGGTAACTCTCAGGAGCAGTCGCAGGCTTGTTGGGCTTTAGCAGAGGGACAATCTTGGCAGTTTTCCAACAAGTTGGGAAGTATTGCCATCGTAGTATGATATTCACTAACTTGGTGAAGTAGAGTATTATCTTGACAGAGAAGGAAGTGCTTGATCATCTCATTTGTGACACCGTCTACTCCAGGGCTCTTCCTTTTCGCAATTCGCATGATATAGAGACAGACCTCCGATGGCATGGCTGAGATAATGTTGTCTGTGCATGGCTGTGTTGTAAAATTGGAGTGGAAGTCAGCAATAAGCTGTTCAGTGTCTGAGTCTGAAATGTTGTTAATGCAGAACTGAGATTCCAGATGCTGAGCTAAAAGTTCTGCTTTCTCAGTTCCGGTGTAATGGATCCGTTGAGGGCCGTGAAGGGGCGGAATGGCGTTATAGCATTTTTTGTACCTCTTCACTGCTTTCCATAAGGAGTTATCCTCTGCAGAAAGAGATCTGAGGTAGTTAGTCCAGCGATCTTGTGAGAGTTTATTTGTGAGAAACTTGACCGCTTCGCACAGGCGATTGAAGTTCCTTTTATCATCACGGTGTCTGGTGCGTTGATACGCTCGTCTTGCAGCATTTCTCTCTTTAATCAATAATCTGAGCTCTTGAGGCTTGTGTTTCATACCAGGTTTAACTTCAACTTGTGCTTTCGCATAAGCATTTTGTATATTTTCAGTGAGGTCCTTGACCAAACTATCAATGTCACTCCCCTTGTGTATCGTGGGTAAAGTGTACTGGGTGTTGGAGAGGGCTTTGGCAAAGACCTGCCAGTCTGTACGAAAGGCCCTGGTGTCTGATGTAGTATATCTGCTGAGGTCCAGAATAATCCTAACAGGATTGTGATCACTTGAAAGTTCGTCCAGTACGGAAATATCCAGTGGAGAACTGGTGTTCCGCAACAAGAAAAAATCAATAATTGCGGTGGACCCAGCAGCATACCGTGTTGGGGTACTTGGAACTGCCAATTTAAACCGTGCCGACGCGGCCAAGGAATAAATCAGTCTGCCTGTTGCATTAGAAGTGTAGCAGTTCCATGCGCGGTGTCTTGCGTTCAAGTCTCCACCAATAATAACATGTGTACCAAGTGTGAGTAGAATTTCAAGGTTATCCTGAACGACAGCCACAGGTCTCATGGGAGGAATGTAGGTGGAGACAAAAGTGTATGGAGTGTTAGTGTCTGTTGTGATGCAGATAGCTGTGGCCTCTACGGCTGAGAGCTGTGGAATGTTCACGTGATAATGGGGAATGCAGCGTTTGACAAGAAGTGCAGTGCCACCTCCACGCGGGCGAGGAGCGGTAGTACTTCTGTGCGACTTGTAGGTATAGTAATTTGCCACACACAATGGTATTTTAGGGTCAAGCTTGTGTTCTTGTAGGAAAAATAAGTAGGGACTGTGCTCACTTGCAAAATCCCGCAATTCATTAATCTTACGGAACAAACCATTTGCGTTCCAAGTAACAATACTTAAGTACCTATTGTTTACACTATACATAATTATTCAACATTGGAAAACACACTGTCAAAAACATTAAATAATATAAACAACTTATCGATTGAATGCTCCGCAGCCCGCAGCTCAGGCATGGCTGCCGAGATTTTTTGAAAAACATTCATAACTGTGGTGCCTTTAAAAACATCACACACCTCTTTGATTATTTTGAGAAAGTCCATAAACATACCCGAACCAACAGTAGCACTAGCAGCACTACCACTGCTGACAGTCTGTTTATGCATATCAACATTAAAATTATTAACAGTATTTACAGAGAAATTTCATATTAGGGAAAATTCTTTCCGGTTTTCCGAAACTCTGACTTCTTCTTTCCCTATAATGTTATCTGCATGACACATGGTGGGAAACGGAGTAATGTTTTGTTTTTGTACTATATATGGCAGGTAACCGCATTCGGCAGTACCGAGTATAACTCAGAGCAACATAGATGAAAATTAATAATTTTCCGTGCATTTATAATATAGCTCAAAAGCATGTCTAATAGAGTCTTTAAAAAACTTCATGGTGAAAAAGATCTTGCAACAGCTCTTAAAATTGATGGCTTGAGCGAATCTGATGACGGGGGAACCAGTCTTCGTAGTTCTGTGGAAAAGCCTGTAAACAATCGCTTTGAATTGGTAAATTGTTTTCTTATGTACATAAGAAAAAGTGATGATTTAAAATTTAAATATTGGTCAAATCCAGCTTTATATCAATGTGAATTTTGTAAAAACATATATTGAGTTTTTATGTAAAAGTAACGTCAGTTCTAATACGATGTTTAGATGGTTTGCTTAGCTGTAAAAGTAAATAAATTGTTTACCAAACCGGGAACTGTGAATTTTGTATGCATGTACTTGCATTAATTTACGAATTTTGTTATTTAAAATTTCATAGCAGATAAGAAATGTCTTAAAAAGGAATAAATTATCAAAATTAGAAATATCAAAAATTATAATAGATTATTATAAAAATTTCTACTTGTTGAAGAATTTTTATCTTTGGGTTACTTTTGAAATTAAATATGTTAGAGATTTCTGAAACTAGAAAATTGTGTTTATTTAAAATTTAAATGTATATGCATTTAATTTTTTGTTATATTTTCTAATTATGGAAATAATTTTAAAATGATTTTTGTAATAAAATCATTATTCAATGTTACAGATCCCACTTGTTTCCTTTGGATGATTTAAATTAAAAAAAAAAAAAAAAAGTTTGATCTTTGGATTATGGTAACTTGGCGATTTTTGGGCGAATATTTGGCGACCAACTCTGCTACAGCAACCCTCAATTTTTTTTTCGCCGCCATTTTGTCTTCACGAAGTAAAGACATGTTTCTTTTCTTTTTATTTACTCAACACTTTTTCCAACAATCTACTAGATGAATTACATTTATGTTAGAAATTTTATGTAACAAAACTGCTTAATCATGACAAATATTAACTGCAAAATTGGGAAAAAGTGCACAATCGCAAACTCTGCACGTTTTTCAGAATAGCACATACACATATACCATGTACACGTCGACTTATTTTTACTTAAAGAAACATCCCAGAATTGAACAAAAATGGCATTGCGCACACTCTTCACTATATCCATGTACACTGCTTTTTTATCATAAATTAGAAAAATTTCACGAAAATGCATGAAAATTTTGTGAATCTTTAAGTCCGGTAAAAAGAACATATATGAAATTACCTGATCACGAAAAAGTATATACCCTTTCAAAGGATGAACATTTCCACGTATAAAATAAATAAAATATCCAAAAACTTTTACCTCTAAATTATCTATTATATTATAAATGTCAGCAACAAATTTCTACCGCAAACATTAAAAATGGTTACAAATACTTAGTGTCAAATATTTAAATTATTTCCATGCACGTTTAATTCAACTGAAACGTACACCAAATTGCTACAAACATAAAATTCACAAAATAACTATCATTTAATTAAAATATAACTAAACCATGTACACGTCGACTTATTTTTACTTAAAAAAACATCCCAGGATTGCACAAAAATGGCATTGCGCACACTCTTCACTATATCCATGCACACTGCTTTTTTCTGATAAATTAGAAAAATTTAACGAAAATGCATGAAAATACTCAAACGTATTCCAAAATACTACAAACATATAACTCACAAAATCACGATCATTAAATTAAAATATAATTAAATTATAAAACACTACTTAAAATATAAATAAGCACATACATTAAATTAATAAAAATTAGATTACAATCGTAATTACTTTAAACTAAATCATTGCTAATAACAATTTTCCAATAATACCATATTAATTTATTTACTCCTTACATTTAGAACAATGCATAAAAATAATATCCTCAAATGATTAAAAATATTACCTTACCTAATCTTCTTCAAAATCTTCATTACGTGTGGCACACACACTTCCCTACAGAAAGAGTTCCAATCGGCTGCAGTACCACTGCTAATTTCTAAATCCGAAATCCAGTAGTCAACTGGCAGTCTATTCACCAAGTAATAAGAAATTAATAAAATTTAAGAACTTTTATGGAACAAAAATGCTTGGTTGATCTTTACATTATGGTAACTTGGCGATTTTTTGGCGACCAACTCTCTTACAACAACATACTATTTTTTTCCCCGCCGCCATTTTGTCTTCACGAAGTAAAGACATGTTTCTTTTCTTTTTATTTACTCAACACTTTTTCCAACAATCTACTAGCCGAATTACACTGATGCTAGAAATTTTATCTAACAAAACTGCTTAATCATGACAAATATTCACTGCAAAATTGGGAAAAAGTGCACAATACCATACTCCTTACGCATTTTTCAAAATAACACATACACATAAACCATGTACACGTCGACTTATTTTTACTTAAAATAACATCCCAGAATTACACAAAAATGGCATTGCGCACACTCTTCACTATATCCATGTACACTGCTTTTTTCTCATAAATTAGAAAAATTTCACAAAAATACATGACAATTTTCTGAATGTTTAAACCCGGTAAAAAGAACATATATGAAATTACCTGATCACGAAAAGTACATACCCTTTCCAAATATGAACATTTCCACATATAAAATAAATAAAATATCCAAAAACTTTTACCTCTAAATCATCTATTATATTATAAACGTCACCAACGAATTCATACCGCAAGCATTACAAATACTTAGCGTCAAATATTTAAATTATTTCCATGCATGTTTACTTCAACTAAAATGTATACCAAATTCCTACAAACATAAAATTCACAAAATAACTATCATTTAATTAAAATATCACTAAACCATGTACACGTCGACTTATTTTTACTTAAAAAAAAAATCTCAGAATTGCACAAAAATGGCATTGCGCACACTCTTCACCATATCCATGTACACTCCTTTTTTCTCATAAATTAGAAAAATTTCACAAAAATGCATGACAATTTTCTGAATCTTTAAACCCGTTAAAAAGAACATATATAAAATTACCTAATAACAAAAAAGTATATACCCTTTCCAAATATGAACATTTCCATGTATAAAATAAATAAAATATCCAAAAACTTTTACCTCTAATTTTTCTATTATGTTATAAACGTCACCAACGAATTCATACCGCAAACATTACAAATACTTAGTGTCAAATATTTAAATTATTTCCATGCACGTTTACTTCAACTAAAACGTATATACAAATTCCTACAAACATAAATTCACAAAATAACTATCATTTAATTAAAATATAATTAAATTCAAAAACACTACTTAAAATATAAATAAGCACATACATTAAATTAATAAAATTAGCTTACAATCCTAATTTCTTTAAAATAAATCATTGCTAATCACAATTTTCCCAATAATACCAAATTACTTTACTTCCACCTTACATTTAGAACAATGCATAAAAATAATATCCTCAAATAATTAGAATACTAACTTACCTAATCTTCTTCAGAATCTTGATTATGTGTCCGATAAACTTCTTATTTCTGTTTCAGGATCTTTAAAATCATACTTATAGTTCACAGCAAGGTACCAGGTGAAATAAATAACTTAATAAAACATCTTTACTTCTATCTCGCACAACCCTTAAAGAAACACTTATTACTACCCCTTTCAATCTCACTAAATACCCATTTCGAATTCACTTTAGTTAGGGCCATGGGATCGAAAAATTAACGAACACTGTTTCACACAACACAGAATAAAGGCAAATACAAAATTTCCAGATTTTTTTCCCGATTTCTCCCCTTTTCCGATTAAAGAACCGTAATTCGTCCATTAATATCACATGACATATCCCATGATTTCTCATTTCCCTCACACAAAATAATGCGTAATCGGAACTGAGTACTGCTCACATTATTACCCAAGTCCCCAGGTAGTAACCTTTATCGCCTCCAAAATGTCGCCAAACTACCAGTTACCATATTCTAAAGATCAGCTAAATGCTTAATCATGACAAAGATTAGGTGCGAAATTGGGAGAAAGTGCAGAATCGCAAACTGCTTGCCGTGTTTTTAAGAACTGCACATACACGTTATCCATGAATACGTCGACCTATTTTCACTTAAAAAAAAATCCCAGAATTGCACAAAAATGGCATTGCGCACACTGTTGACTTTATCCATGTACACTGCTAAAAGTCCTAGCTAGTAACCTCTATCGCCTTACCAAAATGTCACCAAACTACCTGTTACCATATTCCAAAGATTAGTCGGTGAATCATTTCCATTGCTTTATAAAAAAATAATCATCATCATGGGTAATAATCATCTTATCATGGGTTGTCTGAAAAAGAACTGAAAAGGCTGTATCCTAGTTAATTCACTTCAATGAATTTCTGATATATTATAAATTGGAAGCTGCATCTTTTTTTATCTGAATGGCATTTCTGCTTTCCTGAAGATCATGTTTATCTATTAAAACAATTAAATATTTTCTGTTATTTTCATAACAACCCACAGATGTTTATTTTCTTCTTAATAACTTAGCATAAATCTCAAAATGGAAATTATAAAAAAATATGTATAATGGAATGAAAATTGTTGAATGCAGGTAATTTTAAATATAGGTCAGAATAAACTACATTTAAAATAACATGAACATATCTATTTGAAATCTATTTTAAATGTTTCTCATAATATGATTAATAAATGTTCTACCTTCTTAAGAAAATTCTTTACATTACTAAAATCACACCTGTTCCAAACGTACTTGTGTCTATGATGGCAGTTGAGTTTAATACATGATAATGCCAGCATTAGCCTTAGCTAGTAAGACCTTAACTAGTATGTTGTTTTAATAAGTAATGACCTGAATGAGTAATTTTGTTAGTTTCTTCATATTTACATGTTAATGGAAAATGCATAGGTGAAATTTCGTCGTAATTTGATACAATTTATTTTGGGTGTAAAATTTTGGATAGTTGCTACCAGAATTGCTTTGTAGGGATTTTTTTACCCTGAGCCACAGTTTCTACCACCACATGAACTCCATTAAACATAACTTCAAATGTTGTATTGTTGTTCCCCTATGTTTCTTATTCTGCCGTTTTGAAACATATACCTGCTTGATATTTTGTGTATGAGCTCTGGAATGTGCAAATTTGAACTCTGACAGTTACTCCGATATATCAT